TGCCAAGTTCTCTGTGGTTATACTACAGCTCTTTCAGCTCATATTTCCCAACTGTTTTTTTTAAATGTGCAACATAATGAGAGATTGACCCAATATGACTTTAACCCTGGCATAGGGAACTGAAGATTCAATGTTATCTTTACCCAGTGCCTTACTAAAGGCCCAGGGACATGAACTTTCCTATCAGGAGCTTCCCCACCTTCAACGCCACAGAAAAGGCCGGTCCCACAAGTCAAGTTCATGGAACTCTTGGTATGGAGTGCATACAAAGCTATTCTCAAGTCACCTAAACTTGTACACTTCGGAACCATACCCCCATCACTCCTTCGAGATGGCTAGCTGTGGGGAGGAGTGGGACAAAGGATTGAGATAATTCTGGCCTACTTGTAATTCACATATGATCCAAGAACCACCTCCATGACCCTGGGAGGAAGGAAGGTTTCCAGAACTTGCCCAGGAGCTCAGGCATCAGAATCTCCTCAAGGGGAGCCTGGGAATCTGCAGTGACGGAATTCACACATTCACCCTTTAGAACCATTTAAAAACAAGAATAATCTGAAATGACAGTAGTAGGATGTTCTCATTTTACAGCACTTGGCACATATCTGCTTGTCCTTCTATGCACAAAACCTATGACTCTCCTTTATGTCTCATATATTACATGGTGGGTACTTCCTGTGTACCCTCTGCTTTCTCCAGTTTCACTTCCTAAGGTTGAATTCAAAGGCTTCTGGACAAGTTCTAATCTCACTGACCTGAATGACCATAATCAGGCAAAAGAAACTCGCTGACCATCATAAGGCAAAAGAATCTCCGATTTCTCAGTACACTGCCTCACCACTTCAGCAACTCTGCCGAATGCTTGAGGACTGCAGCATCCACTCTCTTCTCTCACTTCACCCCAGTGGTTCTCTACCTTTCTGCACATTGAATGATCTGGTGGTTTCTTTTTAAAGTTCCTGTGCCCCCTCTTCCACTCACATAAATTATGTCAGAAATTTCCCTTGGTTCTCACAATACCTGGTGAGACCCCGACAGACACTAATAACACAATACCACTTACTCCCTCCAGAGCATCCAGTTTCCCATGGCTTTGGAGGTGTGCCCTGCAAAACGGGTCTAACTCAGTAAGAACCATCCTTGCTAACTCTACCCCCACTCCCATTTCACACCATAGTTCTCCCACCCAACCATCCAGCCATCCCCCATATGACCTACAACAGAAACTCTCCAGACACCCTGGGCCCATGAGGACCATTCGTGCTTCTCTTCACCCATGCCAGCACCTCTCCCTTGAAAACTGCCATGGGATTCCGGACTTTCCTCTGCAATTTATCTGTTGGTTTGAATAACCAAAGAATGATTCTCCACCGAGTCAAACATTCTCAGCAATGTGGAATCATTGTCACTTGCTCAAGGCACCTGCTGGCACTCACTACCTACCAAAAGCCTCACTGTCTGAGAAGGGCATTCATTCCTCCCTTACCCTCAGGAAGGCAGATGGCCAGATGATGGCCATTTCTCATGCACTCTGACTTGAGACTGTGTTAAACAGAGTGAAGATCCAATCACTGGTCCAATACATAGTTTAGATAATACAATGACAAACTTTTTAATGATTATGATTTCATGACTATACATGAAGATGTTTTAGGAGAAATTATCGCTAATCACATCAAATTGTGGTTTTGGATGCCATAAGGTTCTCTTGAAATAATTTTTAAGAGATTATTTTTCCAAGGGCTGGAGCGATAGCACAGTGGGTAGGGCATTTGCCTTGCACACAATCAACATGGCCGACTCAAGTTTGATTCCTCCACCCCTCTCAGAGAGCCCAGCAAGCTACCGAGAGTATCTTGCCCGCACGGCAGAGCCTGGCAAGCTATCCGTGACATACTCAATATGCCAAACACAGTAACAACAACTCTCATGATGGAGACGTTACTGGACCCGCTCGAGCAAATCGATGAACAATGGGAGGACCATGCTTGTTATTTTTCCAGAGTAAAGAAACAGTGGCTGAGGAGAGACAAAACAATAGAACTAGGGTTCTTCTATTTGTTCTGGACCACCAAGTTGTGCGCAGGAGTCTCGGTGGGATCTCCTGGTGACTCCTGACGAAGAATCAACTGGACAACTGGGGCAAATGTAGGGGCCCAAAATGTGACACTGCTCAGGCCCCTAGTACCAAGGACATCTGAGCCACCCTGTGATGCTAGGGGGGCTCTGGGGCTGTACCTAGCATTGCTCAAGGAACTACGTGGTGCCAGGAATCAAACTCAGGTCTGCTGCATGAAAGGCATATGCCTTAACTAGCCTGTATTATCTCTCTGGCCCAAGCTAAGTTGTTTTCAAACACTGATCTTTTCGAAACACTGACTACAGAGACTTGCTAAGCCTTCAAAACTGCCTTTTCCAAACTTCTTCATTCCCTCCTCAAAGACCTGACTTTTTCATACCAAAATGCAATGGCTCCTTTCCACTTAAATGCAGATTTTTTTAAAATAATTTATTTATTGAATCACTGTGGGAAAAGTTACAAAGCTTTCAGGTTTAGGTCTCAGTCATGCAAATATCAAACACCATTCCCTTTACCAATACTTATTTTTTACCACGAAGAACCCCAATAAAACCCCACCCCCACCCCTCCCAATGCCTGCGAGGCAGATGAATTCTAGTTGACACTCTATCTGCTTTGATTAGATTCATTGTTTCAATAAAAGATGCACTACTATTATTTAGAGTTTACCCCCTCCCCCCAAATCAGACATGCTGAGAAAGCATTGTGAAGTGATTCGCTTTCTACAGCTGGGTTCAAGAATTAAATGTTGGTTTTGGATTTCCGCTATTTTGCTAATTAACCCTGGAAGTATTTCTACTGAGAGTCAGATAATTAAGAGATTGGTTTCTGTGCTCTGGAGTCGTGGCCGTGCTGGAGAGCCGCTCGGGGGGGCAACTGGCGGCCTCGGTAGGGCGTGAAGGATGGACTGGAACGCCCCCCTTCCCATGAGGTTTTAGTCGCCCCCACACCCCCGGCTCACACCTGCTCTCCACAAGGCAACCATGTGGCCGCCATCTTCTTTCCAGAGAGGAGAGGGCGAATGGGGCAACACCCTTTCCCCTCCAGGCAGACATGATGACCTGGATTAACGCATAGTCCATTCACTTTTCTGCTCCAAGCTGCTGGGTTCTGCATTAAGTCCTTGTGCTTCTGGGGCTGTGGCCGTGCTGGAGAGCCGCTCGTGGGGGGCAATTGGTGACCTTGGTAGGGCGTGAAGGATGGACGAGAACGCCCCCCTTCCCATGAGGTTTTTGTCGCCCCCGCACCCCCGGCTCATACCTGCTGTTCACAAGGCTCCCATGCGGCCGCCATCTTTCTTTCCAGAGGGAGGAGGGCGGAAGGGAGCAACACCCTTTCCCCTCCAGGCAGACATGATGGCCTGGATTAACGCATAGTCCATTTACTTTTCTGCTCCAAGCTGCTGGGTTCTGCATTAAGTCCTTGTGCTTCTGGGGCTGTGGCCATGCTGGAGAGCCGCTCGTGGGGGGCAACTGGTGGCCTCGGTAGGGTGTGAAGGACGGACCGGAACGCCCCCCTTCCCATGAGGTTTTTGTCGCCTCCGCACCCCCGGCTCATACCTGCTCTCCACAAGGCTCCCATGTGGCCGCCATCTTTCTTTCCAGAGAGGAGAGGGCGAATGGGGCAACACCCTTTCCCCTCCGGGCAGACATGATGGCCTGGATTAATGCATAGTCCGTTCACTTTTCTGCTCCAAGCTGCTGGGTTCTGCATTAAGTCCTTGTGCTTCTGGGGCCGAGGCCGTGATGGAGAGCCACTCGTGGGGGGCAACTGGTGACCCCGGTAGGGCGTGAAGGACGGACCAGAACGCCCCCCTTCCCATGAGGTTTTTGTCACCCCCGCACCCCCGGCTCATACCTTAAATGCAGATTTTTTTCAATAACTATAACTGGTCTTCCAGTTCTGAATTCAGAGAATTAACCAACTTTAAATGTTGCTTGGTTGAACTTCGGGATGCAGGACCCATGGTTATCAAGGGCATAGAGGAATTATACATTCCAAGACTGAGGTCGCTAAAGCCAATCCTTCAGTATGACTGCAAAAGTCATATGCAGATCAACTGGGTAAGTATCAGCACCCCAAGTCCTTGTGTTATTCAGAGGAAACTGTTCTAAAACTGATCCCTAGTACTGTGTCCTGTGTACTCAGTGCTTCTCCTGCCTCCTTTCGAGACCCTAAGGCCCTGGAAGACCCATCCCAGAAAGCCCACCATGAGCAGGATGTCACAGGCACTGGGATAAAGCAGAGGACAAGCAGCAAGACTGTGACTTTCATCCAGGGAAGTGCTAGCCTATGAGAGAGACAGACAGAAAATAGATGTTGGACCAAATGATCTGCTCCTTTCCCACTCCACAGAAAATTTTCACTCACAATTAAAATGTGCCTACTGACCCAGTCATGATCTCCAGTTATTAAAAGTAGAGAGTGCCCTTCTGTAATATTTGCCAAACTTCCTGAGTCATGCAGATGCACAAAGATAAAAATTCAACAGCACCCACTCCGAAAACATAAACAAGTTGTGCAGGGCCCTGCACACAAGTGAATCCTAGAAAGCCAAGTCTCATTTCAGGGAATGATTCTGTTGAAACTTTAGCCCCAAACCATCAAGACACATATACAAACCTGGGAGCAGGTAGTGAGAAAAATGATGCTAAGCATTGTTCTATTACAGAGGCTACTCTGTTATAATCTAAATAGTGAGCTTCCATCTTCCTCTAAGATCATAATTTGTGAAATTTAAAATTCCCAGTTCTCTTGACTTTTCAGAAAAACTTCTCTGAGATAGTGATGGAAATAAAGGGGCCGGAACAATAGTACACTGTGTTAAGACACTTGGCTTGCACACAGCTGACCCTGGTTTGATTCCCTGGTATCCCATAAGGTAATATGGTCTCTACCAGAAGTCATTCCTGACTGCAGACCAGGAGTAACCTGTGAGCATCACCAGGTGTGGCTCAAAAAGCAAAAGAATTAAATTATATTTAAAAATTAAAATGTACATACTCTTTACCCAGCAGTTTAATTTCTTGGAATTTATACTTCAAATGTATACACGAATACTACAGGTACCAGAATGTAAACAGCAGCAATTCATATAATGGTGAAAGGCTGGAAAATATCTAAATGTCTGTTAGCTGAAGAATGGTTAAATAAACTAAGTTTTTTTTGTTTGGTTGGTTTCTTGAGAGTTTCGGTTTATACCCACTGGTGCTGTGGGGTTTTGGTTTATACCTCCTGGCTTTGTGCTTAGGATCCAGATGCAAGGCAAGCATCCAAACCTCTGCACTATCTCTCAGGTCCCTGAACTACATTTAATCCAAACAACATAATACAATGCAGTTCTAAAGATGCATGAACTCTATGTATATGAACATAGACTAGCTAAAATAAATTAAAATTGTGTAACATGAAAATATATGAAAAGCAGCACATAAGGTATGCAACCGATATATATTTACTGACACAAGCATAAATTATATCTGATAAATACACAAAAACTGGCAAAATGTTGTTTCTAGTGGACGACCTCAGGATGAGGACATAAGAGGAATACTCAGAGTCCTTTTTGTCCCTTTTGATTTTTGTCCTTTTTGAATAGTGCTACTTACAGGTATCGCCCATTTAAACTTTTTTATAAGACATAAATTTTATAAGTAAAAATGTTTAATTTTACTTGCTCAGTTCATAATCATTTTCAATCCCTGACCCACAAGTGTGACAACATAGTATCTAATCTAAACTCTGTTAAGGTTCTCATTATCCAGTGAACAGAAATAGCCTCAAGTTCAAACTAGATCTACCAAGAAATCTATCCAAAGTCTCACAAGAGCTAGTTTATGTTCTCAAAGAGTTCAAATGTGCATGCTGTAAATGTACAAAGACATCCGATACTCAGATCAGGTGAGATGTGAAACCTACTTGTAGTGTCTATAAACCATGTAAAATGGGAGTTATTTCTGCTTTCTCCTGTGTGGCAGCAGCAGGAGTTCAAGCAGTGAACCAGCTTGGCCCCAAGAAATCAATTAACAGGGTTTAGTTCTGATTCCCAAATAGTCCCTCAAATCTTTGTCCATCTGGCAGAGGGAGCATGCGTGTGCACACACTACAAACATATCCTGAACCCCAGGAATCTCCTCATTCTAAATATAGTAGGCAACTGCCCAGGCTCCATGCTCACCCTCTGCCACATTCTGTGCCTTCCAACCAAGGTGAAAGGAACCAGATGTAAACACACCAGGACAGCTTCTGGCCCACGCTGCCAAGCTATGCACCTTATTGTTTCTTCTCTGTCTCCACTAAAGGTTTCTACAAAAATGAGTAAACCCCAGTAACTCAAATTTGCAAACATTCCTCTAGCCACTAATGCTGTTGGTTACAGCCTGACGAACAAGATACACAGCCTTTCTTCGTCCTTGAAATCTGAAGTCAGAATAGTCTGTTAGATATAGGCCAAGCATCCATATCCCCATTTTATCTGTAAGAATAAAAATATAATGGCTCAAAAATATATTAGGCAGGTCCAAGGATAACTAGGATGCAATTAATATAACACACACACACACACACACACACACACACACACACACACACACCAGATAATCTGGAAATTGGAATGTCCCAAACAGAGCTCAAAGGACCTGGATTCACTACTGGCAATACTTAACCAATAGACCCATGCTTCATTGCTAAAACCAGTCATGGAGGGTATATCCTGGGCCCACAGGGCCACCCCAGTGGTTTTCAGAGAACTCCAGAGCCAACCCAGTTGTGCTTATGGACTCCAGAACTACACCCAGCAATGTCAAGGGGGCCATAACATGCAAAGGGTCAAACTTAGATCCATGACATGAGCCTCTCAGGAGCCCCTGAACTATCAATTCTTGGACCCACCCATATTTTTTTTTCACTTCTAATTATTTTAGAATCCATGGGGCTTGAGCGATAGCACAGCAGTAGGGTGTTTGCCTTGCATGCAGCCAACATGGCCAACCCGAGTTCGATTCCTCCACCCCTCTCAGAGAGCCCGGCAAGCTACCAAGAGTATCTCTCCCACACGGCAGAGCCTGGCTAGCCACCCGTGATGTATTTGATATGCCAAACACAGTAACAACAAAATCTCCAATGGAGATGTTACTGGGCCCGCTCGAGCAAATCGATGATCAACAGGAGGGCCTTTATCCTTTATCCTATGTCAGTGGTTAATAGAAGGACCTGTTTTGTTAGGATGCTTCCATCTTAAAGGAAAAGATTAAGTTGCTGAAACAATCTAGCCTGTTCAAAAGAATACTAGACAAATATTAAGTGCCGATAGTAGACTGATAGTTCATCTAATGCAAAGAACAAAAATAGCAGATATAAAGAGAGCTTGTAAAACTTACAAGCTAACAATTTTACTTTAAGGATATTATCCCATGAAAAGACCAAGACACACACAAATGCAAATAATCACTAGTGCACTTTTCTTATTAGAAAAATTGATCACCTTCAATAGGATACTGGGTAAATGAGCTCTAGAATAGCTATTAAGTATGATTCCACTTAGCTTAGATTCTCAAAAATGGTTTGTCTATAGAAACAGAAAAAAAGTGATGGACCAAGATGAGAATGCAAAAGAGTATTTTGGGAGCAGCAGAAACAAACACTAAACTGAGGTGATGTTGCCCAACTCAGTAAATTAAACTGCAAACCCCTAAATGATGCACTTAAAACTGTATTCTGGCAGGGGAGGGCATGAAGAGATAGTATGTAGATCAAGGCACTTGCCTTCCATGCAAGCAACCTTGGGTCAATCCCCAGCATTGCAAGATACCCCAAGTACTGAGACGGTCCCAGCACCCCCGGTACAACCCAAACCTTCTGTCCCCAAAATGATGAATTTTATAATTACATAAAACTGTTTTAAACTTTAAATATGATCACTTCAAACAAATGGCTACCTGAACAAAACAAAAATATATAAATAGTATCGTGAGACTATTTATAGAACATAAATACAAAATGTTCAATAATGTTCTTGATAATTGATATGTAGCTGCTAAGTGTCACTGATCATCCTGAGAGGAAAAAAAGAAGTGGAGAGAAAAAATATCCTTCCATGATTTTTAAGAGATAGAACTGTCGTTTTAATCATAGTCACTGCATTCAAATTCATAAACAAGATATTCTGTTATAAAAAGAAATTCTGACAATGCTATGGGGCTGGAGCAATAGCACAGCTGTAGGGCGTTTGCCTTGCATGCAGCCAGCCTGGCAGACCCGAGTTCGATTCCTCCCCCCACCTCGGAGAGCCCGGCAAGCTACCAAGAGTATCTCTCCTGCACAGCAAAGCCTGGCAAGCTACCCGTGATGTATTCAATATGTCAAACACAGTAACAACAAATCTCAAAATGGAGACGTTACTGGGCCCGCTTGAGCAAATCAATGAATAACGGGAGAACAGTGACAGTGACAATGCTACATGGATGAACCATGACTGTATGTTAAGTGAACTAAACTAGACACAAAAGGCCGAATACTGTATTTTCCACTCATATGAACTACTTACAGCAACCAAAATAAGGAAGGAAGGAAGGAAGGAAGGAAGGAAGGAAGGAAGGAAGGAAGGAAGGAAGGAAGGAAGGAAGGAAGGAAAAATGCTACAAAGAGGGGAGTAAAGTAAAGTAAAGGCCCTCCCGTTGATCATCGATTTGCTCGAGCGGGCCCAGTCTCCATTGGAGACTTTGTTGTTACTGTGTCTGGCATATCGAATACGTCACGGGGAGATTGCCAGGCTCTGCCGTGATTGTTAAATGGGCATAAACTTGCTGTTTGATATGGTTAAAAGTTCTGAAAATAGACAGTAAAAATACAAGCTACATAGCACCGTAAATTTACTTAATCACTCTGTAATACAGACGTTTTAGTATTAAAGTGGGGGCCAGAGCGAAAGCACAGCAAGTAGGGCATTTTCTTGCACGCAGCCAACCTGGGTTTGATCCCTGGCATCCCATATGGTCGCCCGAGCACCACCAGGAGTAATTCCTGAGTGCAGAGCCAGGAGTTACCCCTGAGCATCGCCAGGAGTGACCCAAAATTTTTAAACAAACAACAAAAAAGTGCTTAAGTAGTGAATTCCATTATATATATTTTTCCCACTATTTTTTAAAACCTGAAAATAGGAACTAGATAGTACAGAGAGTAAGACACTTGCCTTGTATGCAACTGACTCAAGGTGAACTTCAGGTACTCCATATGATCTCCTGAGCCCACCATGAGTGCTCCCTGAGCAAGAGGCAGGAGTAAGTCCTAGTCCCAGCCAGTATGGTTGAAATAGCAGAAATTTTTTTTTAAAAATTTGAAACACACACACAAAAAAAAAATTGAAACACTGAAAATGAAAAACCCAAACAACCCAATTAAAAAACGGACAAACCGGGGCTGGAGCGATATCACAGCGGGTAGGGTGTTTGCCTTGCACGCGGCCGACCCAGGTTCGATTCCCAGCATCCCATATGGTCCCCTGAGCACCGCCAGGAGTAATTCCTGAATGCAGAGCCAGGAATAACACCTGTGCATCACTGGGTGTGACCCAAAAAGCAAAAAAAAAAAAATGGACAAACCAACACCTCGCCAAGGAAGAAAAAGGGTGGCAAATAAACATATGAAAAAATATTCATTATCATATTATTGGGGAATTATAAAATTTTTAAATTAAATACTACTTCACAGCCATTAGAAATCCAAAGACAGATGACACAAAATGCTAGAGAGAATATGCAGAATAGGAGTTCTCATCTATTGCTGGAAACTCACTGAATTGAGTTTCCATTGCCGGAGAAAATGCCAAATGAACAGGCATGTTGGAAAACAGTTTGGCAGTTCCTTAAAATATTAGATATGCTCTTACCACATGATCCAACAATTGTACTGCCTGGTCTTTACCCAAAATCACTGGAAACATCTATCCACAT